GGAAATGTAATAAGATCTAACGGCCTCAATACTGTGGGGCTCATTAGAAGGAAAGAGGAGAAGAGGCAGACCAAGAAAGACCTGGTTACAGAACTTGACTGACTGGACAGGTCTTAAACATGCAACCATGAAGTCCATCGCAGCTGACCACCAAAGGTGGAGAGAGCTGATCAGACAGTCAACAGAAACTGGTGACCCAACGACACGTAGTGTTACGGGATGATGATGATGATGATGATGATGAAATATCCAGTGTCTAATATCGAAATAGAACACAGCGCCCTCTGTGCATCCCAGATGGGTTTCCGTGAACGTTATTGCTTGGTCTTGGCCAGGTTTTTTGGTAACGTTACCAAAAAACCTACAAAGCTACATTTTTTCGATTCCCAACTGCCAAGGTATTTTTTACGTGCAGAGCAATACACACGGTCGTCCGGTCTTACTGTCCATGAGACCAGGAGAAATTACTAGAAGTCCACGTGGAAAAATCCCAGGACATTTCACCGAGGTTTGAACCCGGGACCTCCAGCACTCGAGGCGGATGCCTTACCTCCAGACCACTCAGCCCCTTATGCTTAAACGGCACTTACCTAGATCTATTCCATGAGGAGTTTGATCCTTCAGAAGTTTGATTTCGTGGACTACAATCCTAGAGGGGACAAACCGCAAAAGGGTTGAAAAGGATAACGTTGTATTAATTACTACTACTAAAACACACACACACACCCACCAATCCACACACATACACACACTCACACACTGTTAAAAATTTAGTTGCGGATCCTTTACAGGACGTTGCAGAACCAACCATAGCCATATTTTGGCAGCTTTGGTTTTTCTAGGCTCATTTTATTGATTTTTTCATTTCAAAAGAATTGTCGCCGGATCTATGGAGCACGTGCTCTGCGCTTGACGTCATCTTCAGCGAGCAGCAATGAGAGAGTGAAGAGGAGAAAACGAGGAAATGGTAGAGAAGAAAACAGATAAATAGAAGGGCAGGAGATTTAGGCGAAAAACAGAACGGCGCGGGTTCAAACATGTAAGGGTTTGATTTTGGGAAACACGTTAATTATGGCCTGGAGAGAATGAGGCATCTGGGTGTAACCAGAGGGCCTGGCCGGCTTACTACACTCAGAAGAAAGGCAAGACCAGATTGTGACCGGTACCATCAGTATTAGAAATCTGCGCTGGCTGCTGAAGATGAGGACGGAGCACGCATGTGCTGTGATGTCATAACTTAACTTAACTCCACTAAGCTCATTTTATGTTCACACTCTAAGGAGACAATACATACACTATGTTTATGATAGTTTTAGTAATATTGTCTAATTATTCATAGTAGGATTGGCATCTTTCCGTCTTTCCAGATGATAGTGTAATAAATACACTATGAGGAGGCAAGGTACTCACAGCCCATGGCGATGGCGAGTGTGACTAGCAAGACCCGACCGCGTCAAGAAAAGAGTTCCACAATTATAGTATGGGATTTCAGGACCATTGTTGTTAATATTTGTGTTTAGAGTGTTTCTTCTGAGACGCTCAGCTCTCATCCTTTCTACAATAATTTCTTCCTTCATTCTCATTCCATTCTTGATGAGTCCCCTTCACACAACCCAGTCCGTGACAATTTGTTCCCATCAGTTCACCTCAATAACTGTATCAATTATGTCTCGCTTGTACACATCCTTATATCATAGTAGAGGCCGGCTTGGACATCTTCTACCCGTCTTTAGTTCACCATAGAGGATGTCCTTAAAGACTCTGCCATCTTCCATTCTCCAGAGGGGGCTAAGTGATCTCGAGGCATGACGTCCGCCTCGAGTGCTAGAGGTTCCGGTTCAATCCCCGGTAAGGGCTGGGATTTTTTCACATGGGCTTCGACTTCCAGTAATTTCCCCTGGTCTCTATGTAGTGAGATCAAACGCCTGCATGCATTGTTGCTCATCTGAGAAATCCCTAGGCAGATTGAAATCGACAAGGGTAGCCTAACGGCGCTGCCCTTGCAAAATTAGGAATTAAACAAATCTACCCAAAGTATCTCAGGAGTTAGAAGAAGAACGGAGCACTTATGGGTTACTACCCGTGTGCTATGCTGTTGATCCGTTGTTCAAACCTCAAACCATTCTCCAGGTGTGACTCAGCTACCTGGGCCTTCGTAGAATAAGTACTGAAAAGTATGTTGTAATACCTTTCCAGTACCTAAGTGTTCGTTATCTTGTCCTGCCACTTAATGCCAAGTATTCTTCTTCGGCATCGCATGTGAAGGCTACTGAGCCAACTCATAGTACAATTTCTATCATAATCACAATCCAAATCAAAACAAAATGTGGAAAATTACAAATTACACATTGATTGCATACATAATTAACGTATATGACAGAAAATCATAAATATATACTCTGATATTCCAATTATATGATGATGATGTTCCCACTTACAAACCTGAGGGTGGAACAAGATATTTTTGAAAAATTGCTACTACTACACATGCAAAATATATAACATGAAACAAAATAAATATTACCAAAACGGAAGTCATGCATGTTAGCAGAATTCCTAGTCCGCTACCGTGAATGTTATCTGTCTAAAGCAAGTTAAAGAGTTTAAAAATCTAGGAACTATATTCCCGAAAGATGGGAGAATAGATCGGGAAATCTTCTTCTTCGCCTTCACCAGCTGTAAACTGGCGGAAAGTTCTGGTTGCTCGTCCACTACTGAACTGCAGTCCTGCTCCAGAACCTGAGTGTTGCGTGTGCATCAGTTTTACAGATCTCATCCTCTTGAATACAGACTGTTGGTTCCTTGCCTCTCCGGCAGATGCACTCCGACTTCAAAGGAAGCTCCCCAATTATTCGACTCTTACGACATGATTTTGGGGAGGAAGTGGGTCTATTCTTGTTTTCCCCACAATGGGGCCCCGGAACCCACACGGGGGAGATCGGGAAATACAAACAAGATGCCAACGAGCCAGTCCACATATACCAACAGAAACCATTATTAGGACACCCAAACATATGCATGAGCGCCAAGAAACAGATTATAACCAGCATAAATTTTACCAACACTGTGCTACCGGTGCCAGAGTGGACATTATCAAAGATTAACCTGCGTCAAATTAACACAAATTAACTTCAAGAGGAAAAAGTGCTAGAAACGTCCGGCGGTCTTAGGACAGAGTTTCTCTGTCAGTAATAACAAGATGGGTGAAAGCCGAAAGGAAGCTCATGATAGGAAAACAAGTCTGCTGGATGTCAAAACCAAATTAAGAATTGGCTTCTGGAAAGTAAGAATCATGTTTGAAACGGCCAAAACCGCCCAAGTAATTAAAGAAATGCAGAACTATAAACTGCATATTCTTGGAATTAGTGAAAGCAGGTGGACAGGGTTTGGACAATCCACAACAGGTACAGGAGAAACCATAATATACCCTGGAAGAGATGATAACCTAAATTATGCAGGCATGGCACTCATTTTAAAGAAAGGTATGCACACATTGACACCAGAGGGAAAGAGAAAACAGGGTCGCCCAAAAACAACATGGAGACGAACGACCTGAGTGCGGCATCTTTGACATGGAAAACTGCACTGAAGATTGCACAAGACAGGAAAGCATGGAAAGCCCTCTCTGAAGCCTCATGTGTCACTAGGCATAACGAGAAGTGATGATGATGATGATGAAATTAACACCTGTAAATGAGATGCCTGAGAAAAGCCGCCAACTTAATCATTCGAGACCAAGTTAGAAATTATATTATCGGACAGACTGTAGGAACAACACCATGCAACAAATTCACTGAGAAACAAGATATAAAAATGATTTGGTCATTAAGTAAGAATGCAACCAGAACAACCATCAATGCAGGCGCTACACATAAAATGATCTGAAGTCAAAGCAAGAGGCCGTCCTAGGAGAAATGGATTGATGACATTAAAGAGCTTCTAAATCGACACGGATTGACAGTAGCCATTCAAGCAAAATGGATCGCAAACTGTTCCTCCCAACAACGCTTAACGGCAGAAATGGAAACTTATGATGATGACTACTACTACACACCTACACACACACAAACTTGAGGGTCAAAGAAGCCAACGGCGCCTTCTCCATGACAACCAGCAGCATGACGATGGAGGTGATGGCAGTAACGCAAGCGCTTGCCTGGCTTGAAACACAAAAATACACCTGCGTGTGTATACTCAGTGATTCAATGAGTATGATCCGGAGGGTTCAGGCAGGTTCAGTGCGAAGACAATGGCTTGAATCATTACAGAAGTCCACTGTTCGTGGAGTCACCTTTATTTTTGTTCCGGGACACGCAGGCGTCGATGGAAATGAAAGAGCTGACAGGTTGGCTGGATCCGCTATCACTACCAACGGTCAGCCTATGGATCATACTGATATTATCAATGCCCTCAGAGAAATGGGAAGGATAGAGGACTTTGGTGGCAGTGAATCCACATCACTCGCCAGAATGGCAGACTTGGGAATTAAGATCGGCACAGCAAAAAACGAGACGCACACCAGCTACGCCAGAAGACTTGTTAATCAACATAGAACTGGTACTATTAGCCATCGGACGTTGGGGTTCATACTGAGGGGAGGATCTGAGCAACTATGGACATGTCCGGAGTGCAATGAGGATAACCCAACTAACTAACTAACTAACTAACTAACTAACTAACTAACTAACTAACTAACTAACTAACTAACTAACTAACTAACTAACTAACTAACTAACTAACTAACTAACTAACTAACTAACTAACTACAAAGAGTTAATGTATTGATCGATGTGAATGGAGATGTCAGGGCCCACGACAAACAACACGGAGTGTGAGGAGTGAAACGGTCCGTGTAGCGGGCGCCGTGCAGATAGCCGTGGGTGAGCAGACGAGAAGCCAGGCTCAGGCAGTCACAGGCAGGCAGGTTCTTCTCTCTACACCGTCGGTCTAGTCGCTTGAGGATTTTTTTCTCTGTCTCCACATCTACATCAACAACAAACATGACGAAAGGACGCGTGGATTCTGCTTTATCTACCGCTCCGGTGGTAACATGCATGAAGACGCTGATGATGGTGTTCAACTTCATTTTCTGGGTGAGTACATGTTCAAGTTTGTCAACCCCGTTATGTTTGTCACCGTGAGAACAACAACATCTAGCAGAGAGGGGGACATTTCTCGCCCGGTGCCAGACCTCAGTCGACAATTTATTTCTTCTACCCACGTCATTGGTTCGCTTGGGGTCGTCTGATGTTTGGCTGACTAATTTATGAAAGATCGCAGTTTGCCTGGAGTGTCGAAATTAGAACTACGCACACACATTAAAAACACACATTATAGTTTGGATAACGCAAAAACTGTTATACAGAGCTTCTTTACTAGAAAGAAAAGTGCCTCTACTCAACACACAACGTCTGATCTCTGATTACGCCCCTCCCCCAAGACCTACTATTATCCCAGATCCCTTTACGTCTCTTTCAGTACCATATTTCTAAAGATATATTACGTAGTAGTAGCAGTTTTTACTATTAAAAATATCTCGTTTAACCCTTCGGGGTTATAATTTGGACATGAAGAGTTCATTGATTTTTTAATGTGTTATACAATAAATACTTTAACACTCTTCATAATACCGGTCACAAATTATTCAATGCGAAACACATCCCTTTGAGAGCCTCAAGAGGTTATGTAGTAAATACATTTTGGCTATTATCATCAGTTTCCACTTCTGCCGCTATTGCTGGATGGATAGCAATCTTTAGACGGTAAGCTAAGCACCGTGGTGAGGAATAGTTTTTGATCCATTAAAGCCAAGTGGGGAGAAATAGATTCCTGATCCATTGTTTAACTCTTTACGGACGTTTAGCCAGTATACTGGTGATTAAGTCTATCCCTTAAAGACGTTAAGCCAGTTTACTGGCTCACGATAGAGACACTCTAATTTGTTTACGTTTGTAGGGAAAACAAACTTTTATGAACAAGTTTTTTAACAATTAGGATTAACAACAGTTTGTACTTTCATTTGCGATGTTCATCGTGGTCGGTGAATTATTTTGTGATTAAAAAAACAAAATAATCTAGATGGGATACAATTTTTACGTGATTTTTCTATACTAAATGATATGGGAAAAGGTCTACAACTGCCCATACTGCTCTATCGTTGATGAATCCCTGCCAGATGGTGACAACAGTCTTGATATGATTGATATCTAAGGGACAAATTTACTAGCGATAATTTAGTTTAGGATATGAAAATGTCACAAAATATTTCAATCAGATCAATGTTTCGATCAGCTGTTTTTCGATTTTCGGTTGTTGTGAAAATTGACATGTCATACAAAAATGATTATAAAATCCAAAGTATTTGAATTAATTGTTTCAAATAAAGACTAGCTAATACATAATTGAACAGAGAAGGCATGTGTATTCTTAGAATTGGAAAGCAGTGTTGTTGAACTAATAAAAAAAAAAGGCTGGCACACAATTTTTTATGTTAAAAATTTTCATATGTGTCTAACATCCTTGAATGTTGTGTGATTTTAATAATATTTTGATGTTATACTGATATTTAAGTAGTTTAGATTTATTCTGCACTCATTTATCTTTTATTTGATATATTATAAGTCCCGATACAGCCCATACTTTTTCTTCAGGAAGGTTTTAGCTTTGTCGTGTTGCACTAAAAAAAATTCCGCTTAAAATTAATGCTGTCCAAATTCCAGAAAAAATGCCGTCCTAAAAGAGTTAAGCGCCGTGGGGGAGGAGTAATTTTCGATCCATTAAAGAGATGTGTGGAGGAATGGTTTTGATCCATTGTTCACAATCCCCGTGACTCCCCTTGTGGGATCCAAGGCCACAAGTTTTAGGACACAAAAAAGAATAGACCCATTGTCACCTAAAAAGCTTAATGTCAAAGATGACTAATTAGAACATTGCTGGAAGCGGATGTGTTGGGGCTAAAGGCGTAGATATCGCAGCCTCTCTGTAAGCCACAACACAACATGCCAGCCGCCATTATAAGGGCAAAGTAAAATTCTATCACCCAGCAGGAAATCGAACATCGGTCACCAGCGTGACAGGCCGAATACTTACAACTGTACGACCGAAGACTCGAGCGTTTGGTTCACATGAAATTATATGATAATGTGAAGCAAAGTTCGTAGTGTTCCGTTTCCAGATTTTTAAATATATGACCTCTTGAGGCCCTTAATGGGATTTCTAAACAGTAAATAATTTGGGACCGGTATTGGGAAGAGTGCCAATAAAACATTTTTGCAGTTTGTAAGGGTAGTTTACACAATGTGGTTATCATAATTGCTTTAAGCAGTAAGATAAAGAAGAGGACCATTTTCCACACCTTCAAGCATATTGGGCATATGGGGCTAGACCTATATTTTATAGACCAATCGGCACTTGATGTGGTCAGCATCACGCTGGTTGCCTTCACTCCCCAGGACTGCACCCGGTACCCACTCAAGACCGGGTCAAGACCGGTTATTAAAAAAAAAATAACGTCCGGCTCCGCCAGGACCCGACCCCCAACCTTCCAATCCGCAGGCAAGCATCTAGTCACTAAACCACAGCCACTACCATTTTAAACAGGACACTTGAAATATATTAAACTTTAATCATTGAGTCCCATAGGGTTTAGCATCACAGGCCCAAGGGGTAGTCAAAAGAGAGTAAAATCGGCGCATCATGCGTTCATTGGGCTTCTAGGCAGTAACCTATGAACGTATGATGCATTCCTTGGGACTCAAAGAGTTAAATCTATACTCCTACAGTCTATTACAAATAGTAAATAATCTATGCAAGATTAAATAACCAAAGGTAATTGATTGAGGCATAAAAACCAATACTTAAATAGACAAAAGAACTAAGTATAACCCAATTAATAATAAGGAGAAGAATATAAAATCAACAATTTAGGGGTGTTTACTTTGAAGTTAGAGTGCAACTGCTTGAGAAACCAGGAACCAACAGACTGCATACCAATAAGCCAGACCTGTAAAATGAATGTGCATGCAAAACTCAAGTTCTGTTCACACATAATGAGATGAATTCTTCTTTTTCTTCTCTGCATTCGGTTTCATATGCTCAGGTCAGACTGTCAGGTGGGTTGCCTCTATGAACTTGTATGTCAGCTGCAGGTCCTTCATGGTTCCCCATAGCTTACTCTGCACACTTTGCTCTTGAAGCCAGAATTCTTTGTGAAGTTGTAGGTATAGTGGGCAGATCTGCAGAATGTGTTCAGGTGTTTGTGGTCCTGTCTGACAGACACACCGTGGGGACTGTACAGTCTTTATTTTATGCATGATGAATTCAAGAATGGTGGTAAAATCCATAATGCCAGAGCAACCCCAGGTAACAACAATTAGAAGACAGAGAAGAATGTCAAGACTATAAGTCCTTCCCTCGTGGGATGCAGTTTGTTGTCATTTTGAAGCCCCATCCTGGCTTTTGCCGGGGGCCCTGAATATAGCCGGGCCATAAATAATGGCCTAGCCATAGATATGGCCTAATGGTTGAACGGAGTTTCTGGGACCTCTCCTTGGGTCATCCTCATCCGCATGGTGGCACTTTGTGTCAAAGGGTGTTTATCGCTTGTGTAATGTCCTGGTGGGGTACAACTACCAACCAACCAGAAGACATCCTGAGGAGGAGTAAGCAGAGAACCACCAAATAGGCACTGAAATGGGCAACAGATGGATTGAGTAAAGGAGGGCAACAGATGGATTGAGGAAAGGAGGGCAACAGATGGATTGGGGAAAGAAGGGCAACAGATGGATTGAGGAAAGGAGGGCAACAGATGGATTGAGGAAAGGAGGGCAACAAATGGATTGATTAAAGGAGGGCAACAGATGGATTGAGAAAAGAAGGGCAACAGATGGATTGAGGAAAGGAGGGCAACAGATGGATTGAGGAAAGGAGGGCAACAAATGGATTGAGTAAAGGAGGGCAACAGATGGATTGAGGAAAGAAGGGCAACAGATGGATTGAGGAAAGGAGGGCAACAGATGGATTGAGGAAAGGCATGCAAAAGATGGATTGAGGAAAGGAGGGCAACAGATGGATTGAGGAAAGAGGAAACAGGTTGAATGCTGAATAAGCAATCAACATCGTAGCACTTGGGACACTCCCATAAGAGCTCTGTCTCCATCTTCAGCAGCAAGCGAAGAGTTCAAATTCCGATGGCACCAGTAACTGTTTGATTGTACATCTATCTTGCCGCTCCTTTAAGTGCTGAGCGTCGGCCAGATCCTCTGGTAACTCCTCGCAGCGCCATTGTCCTCAGACTTAATGATATATAACAGGTTAAAGTAGCACTGTCTGATTCTGGAAATTAGTTATACAACTGATCATCGACCTGTTCAGTCCATTCATGCTTAGATCCCCTCCTCAGCAGTAGCTGACAGCATCAGTTCTGTGCTGGTTTACTATTCCTGCATAAGGCTCTTCTCTGGCCAGGCCTCTTGTAACTTCCTCTTCTTGTAAAGTCAAGTAAAGGACCCTTTAGGCGTATAGGGCATATAGGGCTAGACCTATATTTTTATAGACCAATCAGCACAAAATGGGTGATGTAATCAGCATCACGCCGGCCGTCTTTACTTCCCGAGACTGCACCCGGTACCCCATTCAAGGCTGAAAAAAGTCTGGCTCCGCCAGGGAGCGAACACACGACCTTCCGATCTGCATGCAAGCATCTAGCAGCTACGCCACAGCGACTCCCTTCCTGTTCTTGCAGTATGATCATTGTTGCAGGTTCGCAGTCATCACTTGGTTCTTGTAAACATCTGACCTCTCATTGAGCATTTAGTATATTAGCCTAATCCATTGCTTATCTACCCTCTACAGTAGCCTTACCTTCAAGCCTATCAGCTTGTTAATTTCCTTATACACCTGCATAGTGTTTTTGTTGACATCTTTCCCTCTTCCCAGACGGTATTCTTATACTGCGCTATGAGGAGCCATGGGACTCACAGCCCATAGCGATGGTGATGTTACTAGTAAGGCCCGCCCGCGTTTAGAAAAGTCCTCCACAGTTACAGCATGGGATTTCAGGACCGTTGTTGTCATCTTATGTATAAAGTGTGTT